TGGGCTCTTTTTGGCCAGATCCCACCCCATTGTACAAACAACATTTTAAACATCTTGAGGACAATATGATTCTCTCCAACTTCTTTTTCTTACCTCCTGCCCCCCATAAAGGCATAAGGCACAACAGACACCAAAGCCACAAAATAGAACCCCTAATATTATTTATTACTGTTCAGTGAATGAATGAATCCTAACTTCTGTGTATATGATTAGAGTCCACCAGTGGCTGAGGGAGGCATTTATGTATGTGGTTACTTCACACTTCACTCTTTCCCCATTTCTCTTGGAGGTAAGACTGAGTATTCCAAATGTTTCATCTTCCTGTTGAGGGCTTGAGGATCTTCCCTAAGCCCTGAAATACTATGTTCAGGTTCTGTCATCATATTTCAAAAAGGATAATGTCAAGCTGGACTGCATCACAAAGATGATGACCAAGATGATAAGGAGACCAGAGACCACGCCAAATGAGGATCTTCTGAAGAACCTGGGAAATTTAGTCTGAGAGAAGGCCTAGATGGGACATGGTAGCTGTCACACGTAAAAATAATTAGATTGTTCCATCTGACTCCAGAGTTGCAACAGATGCGGGCTGCGTGTTACTGAGAGGCAGATTTAGGCTTTCTGTAAGGAAAAATTTCCTAACATTTAGAACTTTCCAAAAGCAGAATAGGGTATCTTAGGAGGTAGAGGGTTCTTCCCCAATGGACATTTTTGATCACAAGTTGACTGATCACATGCAAGGGATGTTATAGATGTTGTACCCTGTTGAAGTACTGCTTGGACTGGACGACCTCTCAGATGCCTTTCAGCTCTCTATTACACATTTGGGGTCTGCAACCGATTGGCAAAGTTGATTTTTTTTAAAAAAGGAAAAAGATAAATGCTGGAAGGGCTATGGGAAAACAGGCACATTAATGCATTGTTGGAGCTATGAATGGGTCCAGCTATTCTAGAAAACAAACTGGAACTATTCCTAAAATTTACTTAGCTGTGCATATCCTTAGACCAAGTGATGGATCTGAGAAAAAGGAAAAGTGCCTATATGTACAAAAGTATTTATAGCAGCTCTTTTTGTTTTAACAAGGAGTTAGAAACAAAGGGGTACCCATCAAATGGGTAATGACTGAACAAATTATGGTATTCGAATGTGATGGAATATTATCGTAATGAAAGAAATGGCAGAACAGACAATTTCAGAGTAACCTGGGTCAACAGGTATAAACTGATGCAGAGCCAAAGAAGCAGAACCAGGATTACAATTTATATAATAACTGCATCATTGCAAAGACAAAACAATTTTGAAAGATCTACAAATTCAGATCAATGCAATGACCATTCACAATTCCAAGGACTGATGATTAAGCATGCTAATTACCTTCTGACAGAAAAGTGATGAATGCAGGGTGCAGAATAAGATATGTATTTTTGGACAGGCAACATGGAGTTTTGTTTTTTTTTTTCCTTTTTTTGCTCCTGTTACAAAGGTTTTATTTTTCTGGAGGTAGCAAGAGTTAGGAGGGCAAGAAAATAACTTTTTTCTTAATTGAAAAATGAAATGAAATTTGAAATCAGTGTAGTTATAACCTAACCATGCCTGACCATAAACTGAGAAGGCAAAATTCTGTCATCCTCACTACCCTCTAACCCCACGCCCTCCCACACCCATATAGATCACCTCACAAATGTAGCAGACACCTGGGTTCTAGGATCCTGCTTGAGAGCAATGTTTAGGAAGAACTCCCCTCCCCCTTTTCATTTTTTTTTCTGGGACAGAGAAAGTCATCCAGAATGAGCAAACCACAATTTGCAGTGATCTCTATGACAGATCTCATTATATTATCTTTCCCTTAAGACCTACCCCTCTTCCAAAAAAATTAAAATAAAATAAAATAAAATAAAATTCAGGATTTATCCAGACCTAAGAGGTAATTAGACAAGTGCATAAGTATAGTTGTAGTCACTCTCCACAGGTTGCTAATTTTAGGCCCCATTTATTTATCCATTTTACCAACATTTTAATGGTGAAAACATTGTGGACATAAAAGTCAGGAAAGAGCTGGAATCCTGGACCCAACACTGATGACTGCTCAGAAAACAGCAAAGCTGGGGCAGCTAGGTGGCGCAGTGGATAGAGCACCAGCCCTGAAGTCAGGAGGACCTGAGTTCAAATCCAGCCTCAGACCAAACACTTGACACTTACTAGCTGTGTGACCCTGGGCAAGTCACTTAACCCCAGTTGCTAAAAGTAAAAAAAAAAAAAAAAAAAATAGAAAACACCAAAGCTCCAGCACTCTGGAGTGTAAGCTTGCTGAACCTCCAGAGTAGCTGCTGGTCTAGATGCGGCAGGAAGAACAGAGCTTTGGGAGAACAAGAAGGAAGACTGGAAATGGTTGGTGATGGGATCTCAATAAGATCAGCTATCACAACACTAGTTAAGAACCATACCCCAAAACCAACACCTTGAATCATACTTGGAATTGAATTAGCATCTGGGATGGTTTATTTAAACAGGCCCCAGGAAGACAACATTGCATAAATCAGGTTCAGTTGCCAGTGGGTGGAGGAAATATGTTGTTTACCATAAGAGGTAGGAATAGTATCTCATTTAAGGAAGGGGCCTATACTACACCTTTGCCCAGTATGAATACTAGTTTGCTACAGTGGACCAGAAGGAAGTCATTACAGATTCTCCCTCTACAATCTATGCATTAGTCAAAATCCCCTGCCTGATGCTTATTGTGCTTATAGCCTCTTCAACCTTGTTAAACCAGCTGAGCTGCTTTCAGGTGGGGGAGAGAAACTAGTCAGCATCCAGAATCCCTTCTAATGGAAGGCAAACAGACTAGACCTACCTGGGAATGAGATCTGAAAATTCTCTATGAAAACAACTTCCCACATTTCTACCTTCTTAATGTGAGGTATTTAGAGATTATTTTACCTGTCCTCCAACCTCGTTACCAGTATTGGTGACCATAGGTGTAGCTGGTTGAAAGATAATGGTATTAAGGGTAGAAGCAGGGGCTATACCACAGCCAACAGAAGTTAGGAACCTCCTATGGTGCATCAAAAAGAAAAAGATGATTTGGAAGCCAAGGCTCTGGGTTCTAATCCTTAAGTAGAGAATGGCTGGGAAAATCATGAGGCATTGCTTTCTAAAACTAGTTTTATCACTAGGTGACTTTGGGCAAGTCACTTCCCCTCAATGAGAGACTTGGATTGGATCATCTAGAAAAGTCCTTCCCAGGTCTAAAATGCTATAACTATTATCTCTAATGTGGTTTTGTTCTATTACCTAAGTGAGAAAGTATTATTTCTATTAATAAAAAATGTTATGGTAATTAAACAATCCCCCATCTTTCACTCCTGACACAGCTGTCAGTAATTTATTGACTATCTCCTGGATCACCTGCACCCCTGTGAGTAGTTGAAGAGGTGTGATTATCCCTAATTTGCCTAATGAGGGCCTGGCTAGGAAAGAATAAAATAAAATGGCTAATAATAGAAAAAATGTGTTCCCTCAACCAAAAATAGAACCTAGGTTGAGAATGGGGGAGCTGGAAGGAGGGATACATGGGAAATAAATGTGATATAAAAATAGAAGAACTATAAAAAAATTTTCAAAATAGAATCCAGGGAATCTAGCTTCTCTATACATTCTGGCTTCCATAAGTCTCACTACTTCATGAAAATTACGAGTTTCAAAATACATTTCCATAAGGGAAAATGCTCATAGTCAACTCTCAATTAACAAAAGATTTATACTCTAGTTTGTGAATCATCTGTGTTTTGAGTTTCTCCTTCCACTACATCTTTTGATCATTTGATTGCTTATTGCTTATCCATCAAAAGACAGAGGAAAGAAAGGAGTAGAGATGTGCCTCCCCCAATCAAACACCTGTCAAGTATGTATATATGTGTGTACATATAGATAGACATATATGTGTGTATATATACATATACACACATATATGTATATATATATATATACATATACACATATATATGTGTGTGTATATATATATATATATATGGATTTCATTTATCTACACTGATTTCCTTAGTGTATGGATAGAACTGAAATCTAGCTATGGATGCAAAAGCTTAGATTTGATTTAATAATAGTTTACTTATTTGGGGGATGTGAGGATGGGGAGGGGTAAGGTGAGGGAAAGGAACAAACATTTATTAAGTACCTACTATATATCAGGCACTGTGCTAAGTGCTTTACAAATATTATGTCCTTTGATCTAAGCAAGTGTTTTACAGTAACAAAACAATTTCATACACATTTGAATCTCACAACAACCTGAGAGTTAGGTAACAGAAATAAAATTATAATCCCTACATCAACAGCCTGAAGTTTAGCTGATAGGCCATAGGGGTAGATCTTAAGGCTTATCCAAGATCATGGAGCTAAGGAATAGAGACAAATAGTGAGCATTTATAGGGTACTTTAAGATCTGCAAAGTGTTTTGCACTTGTTATCTCATTTGACTCTTAGAATAATCCTAGCTATAATTACCACCATTTTATAGATGAGGAAACTGAGGCAATGAACAGTTAAATGAATTGCCCAGGGCCACATGGCTAGTAAATGTCAGAGGCTGCTTTTCAACCAGGGTCTTCCTGATTCCAAGTCCAACACTCCTAGACAGAAATAGAAATAGTAGTACACTAGTAAATGTTTAACAATCAGGTCTCCCCCCCAAAAAAATAAAGGGTACGTACTTTTGAGTTTAATCTGCATTATTAACATTTTCTCTATCATTTTCTTTTGCCTAGACAATCAACAATACATCGAGCCTCTATTTGTAGCATTTGCCTAATTTCCAAGGTAGAAATGCTTTCAATGAAAATTTAACAGTAGGCTCTCAAGAGCTGTCCAGCTGACTCCATCACACCACCTAAAAGAACCCAGATCTTTGACTATTAATCCCAGGCTCTTTCCATTCTGCTACTGTATTTCTCATCCTCTCTTTTCCTCTCAGCCTTTGACTGACCTGGCAATGGGTTTTGCAGGATTCTGTGGATTGGAAAAACGCCAAGCAGGAAAGAAGAATCACTAAAGACATTGTTTCCACCCAGCTGACTTTCTTGTTTCTGTTAGGAAAAAAAAAAAAGTCTCTGAGTCACTGCTTTCCAAGTTCCATGCATCTGTCGAAGGAGAGGTTTATCAAGAATGAATTCTAAGCTTCAATGATCCTTCTATTCCCACCCTACAAAAAAGGAAAAAAAAAAAAAAGACAGATCAAGCCTACTTCTCCAGTTCCTCTGGGAGTCTGACTTCAGGAGGAGGCTATATAGAGTTGTGTTGGATCAGAAAGACTGACTTCTGCTGGGGATGAGGCAGCCCCCACCCTCACAGCCCTCTGGTGTTTACTCCTGTATGATATCTAAAACTGGAAACCCTCCAAGGGCAGCTGCTAAGCTGACTGTACTTCAGCTGCCAACCAATTATTAAAAATGCCTCAGATTTGAGGGGTATAAATGACAGTATGTGGGTGAGGATAGGACAGGGCGTGTAGCCATGCATAAGTGTCTGTCTACACGTGAGTGTTTAGCTAGACTATGTCTTCTAAACCAAGGCTTTTTAAGCTCAAGTACAGGAGTCCAAGAATTCAGATACGGAAAAAAATTAAATCTTTATTTTCATTAACTTCTAATTGAAATTCAGCATTTCCTTCGATTATGAATGTAAACAAAAAAACATTATTGTGAGAAAGAGTCTATGGGCTTCACCAAATTGCCAAAGGGGTCCACGTCATAATAAAGATTGAAGATCTTTGCCCTAGTCCAGAGGTTTCCCAAGTGGGTGATACCACCCCCTTTGGGGGTGCTAGAACAATCCATGGGGGTGGTAGTAGCCTCTGGTGCAATTGGGAGGCATTGAATAAAAATAAAGGGGGCAGTGGAAGCACAAGAAGAAAAGATAAGAAAAATTTGAAAAACCATTCATACATATTTCATCTATTGTGTAACAGAGTTTCAGGGATGGGGAACCTATGGCCTTAAGGCCACGTGTGGCCCTCTAGGTCCTCAAGTGTGACCCTTTGACTGAATCCAAACTTCACAGAACAGATGTTCCCCACTCCAGGTTAAAGTCATAATGATTACATTGTTTTCCAAATAAACACACAAAATGCAAGTTATAACTGATCAGTGGTCAAGTCTGTTGACAGGTCTTAACAAGAAAGTGTTGGCAAGTGAGCATATCTCAGATGGTTGGGAAGTCCATCATGCATTGGCAGGAATATGTGCATGTAATGACTTGTTTACAATACGATACTATACAGTTACATGATGCAATATCACATCATCAAAATTTCAATGCAGGAAAAAAACACAAATTTACAATAAATTATTAAATTTAAGATGTGTCATTTTTTAAAAAAAAATTTATGTATTTTTGAAATGACACAAATTAAAAAAAAACATTCAAGGGTTAAAGAAAGTAGATTTCCAGGGGGCACTAGGTAATTTTTGGGGTGGCAAGCCAAATAAATTTGGGAACTTCTGCTCTAGTCTAAAATGGCTTTAAGAGCCCATTTTGAACAAAAGGAGAATAGTAACTGCCACTTAACCATTACCCCAGTTTGCACCTAATTTACTGTTTCCTATAAAAAAGAAATGACTAAAGGAAAAAAGACATGATCACTATTTTCAAACACTTAAAAGGCCAACATTGGAAATAATAAAAGTAACAATGACTAATTACGTTCCTATAGCACTTTCAATGGTGTGTGTGTGTGTGTGTGTGTGTGTGTGTGTGTGTGTGTGTGTGTGTGTTTTGGTTTTGCTTTGAGACTAGGTCTCTCTATCTTGCCCAGGCTGGAAGGACAGCAACCATTCATGGACCTAGTCCCAACATTGGTTGACTTGAATGCTTTAACCTGCTCTGTTTTTTCCAGCTTGGGCTCCTGGAGGTCCATCATATTGTTGAAGGACTTAATGCAGAATCCAATCTGCTTTAGACCTACTGTAGCTTAAAATTCCCAAACTCAAGCACTCCTTCAGTAGGGAATACAGGCATGCACCACCATGCAAACCAGTGGCTAGTGCTTAGTTTTCCAAAACATTTTATCCATGGAAACCTAAGAAGTTGATTCTGAAAATATTATCTTCACTGCAAATGAGGGAACTGAGACTCAAAGAGATAATATCACTTGCCCACACTCACACAGTGAAGAGTACCAGAGGTGGGGCATGAATCCAGGTCTTCAGATTCTAAGACTAGTGCTGACTGAAAGAATCATTGGACTTGCTGTTCTTGATCCAAGAAGGTAGAACTAGTAATCAGCAGGTAGAGGTTACAAGGCCATACATTTTAGCTCAACAGCTCAAATTTTAGCTCAAGAAAGAACTTCTTAATAGTTAGAGTTGTCCAAAAGTGGAATTGGCCATGTTTTCATGAGATAGTGCCTTCTGCATCACCCATTATGGATGCTATTGAGAGTACTGATGCTTTAAGAAGAGGTCCGTAGGGACAGCTAGATGGCACAGTGGATAGAGCACCAGCCCTGGAGTCAGGAGGACCTGAGTTCAAATACGGCCTCAGACACATAATACTCACTAGCTGTGTGACCCTGGGCAAGTCACTTAACGCTGATTGTTTCACCCCCCCCAAAAAAGAGAGGTGGGACTAAAAGATCTTCAGGGTTCCTTCCAATGCTAAGGTTCTGTGCAAATATCTGGAAGTGTCTCCAAACGGAGTCATATCCTTACAGATACGTCAAAAAATTTCTTCAGATAATACTGGAAAAACTGATAATGTGACTGCTGTCATTGACAATGATATTTTATAGATCATGGATAGGGAAAGGTGCTACAGGCTCCTCATTTATTATATCATTATATCAAACGCCTCAATTTTCAAAAAAAATGGAAAAGAATAGAATCCACAAACTTTAGACCAGTGAACTTGATTCTAATGGCTGACACAATTCTAGAGCAAATTCTTAAAAATTATTTTTAAAATGATTAATGATAGTATAGAAAAGGAAGCCATAATCACCGAGTGAAGTGTGACTTCATCAAGATCAGGTCATGACAAACTAACTTAATTTCCTTTTTCGACAGAGTTACTAAACTGATCAATGAGAGGAATGCTGTAAATATGGTTTCCCTCAATTTCAGCAAAGCATCTGATAAAGTATGTCATGCTATTCTTGGAGAAAGGATAAAGAAATAGGTACCCAATTATGGTATGGTTGATTAGCCAGAATCAAAGAGCAGTTATTAATGGTTCAATGTTAACTTAGAAAGAGGTCTCCAGCAGAGGACCCCAGGGATTCTTGATTTCCCCTGTACTACTTAATAGTTCTATCAGTGACTTTGATAAAGTCATAGGTGATGTGCTTATTAAAACTGTAGATAACACAAAGCTAAGAAGGATACCTATCACAAAGGATGACAGAGTCAGGATCTGAAATGAAATTAACAGGCTAGACTAGGGGTGGGAAACCTGTGGCCTCGAGGCCACATGTTAACTTCTAGGTCCTCAGGTGCGGTCTTTTGACTGAGTCCAATTTTTACAGAATAAATCCTTTTATTAAGGAGATTTACTCTGTGAAGTTCGGATTCAATCAAAGGGCCTCACTTGAGGACCTAGAGGGCCACATGTGGCCTTGAGGCCTCAGGTTTCCCACCCCTGGGCTAGACTGTTACACAGAATATGATAAGATGAAAAGTAATCAGAATAAAGGGACAGCTAGTGTATAGAGTGCCAGGCCTGGAGTGAAGAAGACTCATCTTCATGAGTTCAAATCTGGCCTCAGACACTTACTAACTGTGTGACCCTGGGCAAGTCACTTAACCCTGTTTACCTCAGTTTTCTCATCTGTAAAATCAGCTAGAGAAGGAAATGGCAAGCCACTCCAGTATCTCTGGCAAGAAAACCCCAAATGGGGTCACAAAGAATCAAACATGACTGAAACAACTGCACAACCACCACAAATCAGAATAAATGTGAAGTCTTACTTTCGGCTCTAAAATTTGACTTCACAAGTACAAGAGAGGCAAAGTTAGGCAATGGTTCATCTGGGGAAAAAAAATCAGGAATAAAAGCAGTTTAGTGTCCTGTAATCTCAACATGAGTCAAAAGAGTGATTTGGCAGCCAAAAAACTGAAGGGATCTTAGGCTTTACCAAGAAAAGACTAGTTTCCAGAAATAAAGGAATGCTACTTCCATCACCCTCTACCCTCTCAGAACACATCTGGAGAATCATGTTTACTCATAGGTACCACAGTTTAGAAGAGACACAGAGAAGCTGGAAAGCATCCAGAGAAGGGCAACCTGGATGGTGAAGGGTGTCTATTTCATGCTATATGAAGAGTGGTTCAAGGAACAAAGGATGTTTTGCTTGGAGAAGAATTTGATAGTTTTGTTCAAATTTCTGAAGTATTGTCATGTGAAAGAATTTTTTACTATTTCTTCTTGGCCCCAGGAGGCAGAACCAGTAACAATGAGTAGAAGTTGTAAAAAGATATATTTAGGAACTACAATCAGAGCTATTAAAAAAAAAAAAAGGAGGATGGGTTGCCTCAAGAGATAGTCAATTCCCCTTCACTGGACATCTTCAACTAGAGACTGAGTAACCACATGTCAGATATTTTATAGGATTCTTTCCTGAGAAGAAATCGGATTAAATGGTTATTGGGATGCCTTCTAACTTTAAAATTCGGTGATTCTTGAAGAATGAAAGCCAAGAGCCTAAAAAGAAGGCTAAAGAAACCTCCATGATCAAATGCATTTATTGGTTGGCTTCTAATTTTTTTTAATGGGCTAATTTGTGGAGTGGGAATGACAGTTCCATACCCAGAAGAGAACAGCATTGGGAGTATATCCATAGGCAGGTTCTCAGGCACAAACTTTTATCATAATTTCTCGCTTGGGATACCAAACCTTTAAGAAAAAAAAATTGTTCATCTTTTAGTTGCAAAAGCACTGTACTGGGAATGAAAAAACCTGTCTCTAAATATGGCCTCTGTCACTGTCTTATATGATCTTGGGCAAATCACTTGCCCTCCCTGGGTTTATTTCCTCATTTATAAAGTGAGGGGGCTTGGATTAATAATAATAATAGCTAACATTTATATGGTGT